GAGGGGCTGGGAGTGGTAGGGGAAACCCAGCAGGAGGAGCTGGGAGTGGGAGGGGAAATCCAGCAGGAGGAGCTGGGAGCGGGAGGGGAAACCCAGCAGGAGGGGCTGGAAGTGGGAGGAGAAACCCAGCAGGAGGAGCTGGAAGTGGGAGGGGAAACCCAGCAGGAGGGGCTGTGCCCAGGAGGAGAAACCCAGCAGGAGGGGCTGGGTGTGGGAGGGGAAACCCGCCACAGCACCTGGGAGAGGGAGAGGAAACCCACCACTGCGCCTGGGAGAGGGAGGGGAAACCCAACACAGCGCCTGGGAGCTGGAGAGGAAACCCGCCACAGCTCCTGGGAGAGGGAGAGGAAACCCGCCACAGCACCTGGGAGAGGGAGAGGAAACCCAGCAGGAGCAGCTCGGAGTGGGAGCAAAGCCTGCCTCAGCTGGTTTCGCTCCCCTCTCTGCTTGGCTCCAGCCACTGGAAGCCCTATTCTTGCAGGAATCTTCCTGCAACGGGCCTCTAGTATTTCATTATAAAAACCAAAGAATGACTTTACTGCTGAAAGTAAAAATTTGAAATCCTTGGGCTGAAATCCTTTCAACTCTGATAATTCAATGTTACTATTGTGTGCTATTATTTAAAATAAAATGCAGATCACAACACTCTTATTCTCGTTTTCCCTTTCTATGCATTATCAATTCTATGATAGAGCTGTTTATAAATTGAATTTATGGCAAAGAGAGGGATGGTCTGTGCTTTGTGGATGAATCAGAGGTGACTAGGCAGAGAAGGGGATGATGGGATATGACAGGCTGAAGGAGCAGCATGTAGGAAGGCAGTCATTAGAGGGTATGGCAGGTTCAGAGAGTGAGAAATACTTTGTGACTGGATGCAGGGTTGGAGCAGTGTAGTAAGAGATGTGGCTGAAGGAGGCTCCCATCGTAAAGAGCCTTGCGTGCTTGGTTAGGACTTGGGCTTTACCTGGGGAAGCAGGCGATTGGATATTTTAAGAGAGCAAGGTAAAATGATCATTTTGTGTTGTAGTAAGTGTTCTCCAGTTGCAGTGTTGAGGTTAGATCTTTGGAGTCAGAAGGATGTCTCTTAAGATACCTCTTGATCTTAGGTTTAATGGGACTGGTATCATAAATAATTTCAAAAGAGTTTTCTTTTCCCGGACCATGTCATTCTTCCCACCCCAACCCCAGGAATTTGAGGAATTCTAAAAATGATTCCTTATATGCATGCAGCCATAGCTCTTCCAAAGAGAAAACTTATTGTCTTAATTAATAATCAACTTTAATTTATAAGTATCTTGATATGAAGAGGGGATAAATAATCAACACTAGAGACAAATAAAAGTCATATTAACTTAAATATTTTCTACTGAAATGTAATTTCATTTGTTTATAACTATGAGATACCCATTAGGTAACTTACAAGAGATTGGCTATGACATTCAAGGCCAAGTGCATTGAATTGGGATTAATGGGCCAGGTCTTAGTGACACTTTGAATGATAATTTTGTCACTTAAAACTAAATTTTTACTACCTAAGACATTTATTAGTGCCTTCATTTATAGAAAAAAATAATACTATACTCATATTTGGATGGCAGACACACCATGTAAGGCACATATGCTATCTAGGTATGGAGACAGAGGTGTGGCTCTGGTCTATTTAACATGAAGTTTTAGCTTGTTGGTTTATGACATCTGGACTTTAGTATATACCACCAATCAAAATGATAAATCAGTGTCATAAATGAAGTAAAACATAAAGGAAAGATCCACTTAAATTAATAAAAATTCTCTTTGATATGCCACTAAACAGAGAATGTTGCTAACATTGGAAAATTTAATTTGCAGCATGAATCCTGAAAGAATTAAAATAACATAAAATGACTATTACCAAAATGAATCTAAGACAATGAAAATTCTGCAAAGTAAATGGAATAGAAGGACTATTCATTTTCCCATTAAGCTATTCAGTGTAATGTTAATGTGTGTGTACTTTAAAATTATTTTTACTTTTTGGCTTTCCTAGCATTCATTTTATTTTCAACTTGAGAAAAATATTAACAATAGCTAGTCCTTGAAATAACTTTAGATTCATGCTGAAATATTTTCTTAATTGTGCCTAAATCTCATCAAACAGTCAAGATACATAGTTTAGAGAAGGGTAGAAAAGGAAAAATAGCAAATTGCTTTTGTAGGGAGCTAAAGTGACAATAAACTTTGTAGGAATACTCATTTTCAATAAGGTTAATAAAAACTATCATTTCTTTAGCCCTTGCCATGTGCAAGGCTAAACTGGGCTAAGCTTTAGCCCTTTCATTTAATTTTAGTAATGAGCCTATGAAATAAACACTATCAACCCATTTCACAGATGAAGTTTAGAGAGATTAAATACCTTAGGTTACAGAGGTGGTAAGTGATAGATTTGCACCCAGACCTATCCTCTGGAGCCCAATCTTTTATGCTACCTCTAAGTCATAAGTAATAACTTCTAAGCAGCGCGTGTCCCATGTCACCTGACCAAGCCCTGTCATTTTTTCTCATTGTGTTATAATTGTCTCTTTACATACCTAACTCCCCCTACTACATGGTTATCTACTCCAAAGCAAATTCAGTGTCATATTTATTCTTCTAGTTCCAGAGACTTAATGCAGTGGTGTATCCCATAGTGGCTATTGAATGAATAATGCTGTCAGAAGTCACTAAACATTAATATATTAAATAAAATATTACATTGTTATGAAAAGCAACTGATTTGGAAATGAAGTGCCAATTGCTTCTGAAGCTCTGCTAGGCATTCCTTTCCCTAAAGATGAGATTTCTTTAGAAAGCTAGGTGGGCTGAATTGCTGTTACCAATAGGAATTCAAAGGAGTATGACCCCCCCCCCCCACAGATATACTATATATGTAAAATGATATATGCAGTTTTAAAAATGGTTAAGGGAAGGGATACTGCCAGCATAATTTAATTAAGGTCTTGACATTTATGATGGACTTTTCTACACAGGGAAATAACCAACTGTTCATTGATATTGAGCTCCAAATAAAAGGAACAATCAGGGGATTATTTTAACCTTTAGGTAATTTTTAAAGGTTAAAATGCAATTAGTGTAGGAAAGAAAACTATTTTATATGAAAACATTACTCAGTGTAACTTAATGGGCGAGGGGGGATCAGCTTAGACTTCAGCTTGATGGATTGAAAGCCTAGCAAAGAAAATAATTTCTGATTATAAAAAATAGTTTACCAAGGGAATTGGGAGAAGGTTCTAAGTGAGCTTGCACATGTATCTTTAAATTGGGTAGTACTGACTTCTGCAACCACATCTTGCTGGATGATGCCCTGGTTAAATATGAGGATAATGTCTATTTTAGTCTGGGTCTTTAATTGCCTTGTCTGAAAGCTGTCGGCAATCAAAGCTCCCTAACCCTGGCTCTTCTAACGGATGCCTAGAGCTTGAATTCTGCTGCTGTCCTCAGCAGTCTTTAGGAGTCAAAGGCCAGAATGCAAGGGCTGCCAGCAAGATGATGTGCCCACTTTGCTGGCATTGACATTTGCAATTGCCCAAGCCCTACAGAAGGCCGGTGGATACACTTTTAACTTCCTGGGCATAAATTCATCTGCAAAATAAAACATTTGAGTGGAAAAATACACAGAAAAAGTGGAGTTATAGCAGCCAATGACAGCAAATGAAGTCACAAGGGTGCTTTTGTTTTCTTATAACTGGTTTCTATAAATCCACCTCTGATGTAGAATAAAGTACATTATCCTGAATTTTAATTTAGTTATAAAACATTCTAAAATAGAGACTAGACTAAAATGAATGTTAACGCCCTATTTTAGTTGGCCCTTGGGTGAAGTTATATTATTTTTTTTTCTGAGACTCTTCCTGACCACCTCCAGACTCTTTAGATGTTTCACTACGTGGTCCTGTATTGAAAGAGTCGGTTGCTCATCAGCCAACCTCACCGGATTATTATTTGGTCCTTGAGAGCAGGGCTGTGTCTTTGAACACTTCCTTCCCGGTATCAAGTACAGTTTGTCACAGACTTTGTCGTAGTCCATAAATATTTGTGGGATGACATATTTTTTTCTGAAATAGCCCCTTTCTCATTTCTTCTCACTTATTCCTCTTTCACGTTCTTCAGGTTCTCTCCATCTGCCCGAAGGACATGAGAGCTGATATCTGTGTTCACCTAAACCGCAAGGTGTTCAATGAACACCCTGCCTTTCGGTTGGCCAGCGATGGGTGCCTGCGCGCCTTGGCGGTGGAATTCCAGACGATTCACTGCGCGCCCGGGGACCTCATCTACCACGCCGGGGAAAGCGTGGATGCCCTCTGCTTTGTGGTCTCAGGCTCCCTGGAAGTCATCCAGGATGATGAGGTGGTGGCTATTTTAGGTACTGTGAACTTCCTTAATGTAGTAGCAAATGCGTAACAGGTTTAGAGATTTTGCTTCTCAGGTTTCTTAAGAGAAATTTCCTTTGCTTGCTGACTTTGGAAACTGGGTCACTGATCAGACAATAAATCTTAGTGAAAACTAGTAATGCTGCTTCAGCAAGGAACGCTATATTGGTCTCAGCCTAATGGGCTGCAGGAGGGTTGGACTACACTTTCTTTGGCTACAATAGGATAGTACCTTTTAGACTAGAGCCTGACCGTGGCTGTACCTCCATGTTGGTAAGTGTGGAAATGGCTTGTGGAGTGATTGTCAGGTTAGTAATCTAGAATGGTGGTCTCAGAGGGGCAATAGAACCTGCCTAATTCAACACTTCCCTCTAGAGATGAGCAAAGTGAGGCCCAAAAATGTTTGGTGACTTGCCCGGCTAGTACATGAGTAAGGGCTTGAGTACAGATCATCTTACTCTAAATCTTTTTACCTCATCACAGCGGACCTAAGTAGTGAGCTGAAAGTGATGAGGAAATAAATGAATTTGACCCACTATATTGGAGTAATCACAATGCAAGTAGATTTAGGCTTTTAAAACTGGTTTTGTCCATTCACAAACCAGGAAAATTATTTGGCTAATAATAATTTCATTCAAAAATCCAGAGACCTAGTAATTAGTTGCACTAACAAAAAAGGCAGTGGCAATACATGTACATGACAAAACTTTTTTTTAAATTACATGTTTGGGGACAATGTAATATATGTATAGGTTAAACAAATGCTAAGTGATATTTTAGATTATTATTTTTTTTTGCTCCAATATCAGCAGCAAGTTCATGAAGCCCACATAGCTATAAATGGAAGCAATAATAAAGTCAGAGGAGAATCATTTCTGGCTTTTTCCTCAAGTAAAATAAGTTAGAATTGCAGGATGTCAACTCCATTTTGATCACATTTTTCCTGGCTTGTGTCTCATGAAAAATGAGCTCAATTTTAAACTATTGGATTTTTTTAGCTTCCGAGGTCAACCTACCATCGCTTGAAAGCCGCTTATTCTCGTTAATACGAGATTGACTGATGTATTTTAGCAACTGCAAAAGCAAAATCCAGCACAGAAATGAGGAACTGATCTCAAAAAGCCCAATTACCTGGCAGAGACAGAACTGAGGACTGAGAAACAGCGACCCCTCCCAGGAAAACAGGTCCTCGTAACTTTAAGAGTTAGAGGAAATGGTGCAGAGTTGCAAACGACTGAACACTGTTGTTTGTAAACATTTTTCTTAACTGTTTAGTCAGCACTGTGCATGTTTAATGCTACTGAGTGCTTGTTCTGTTCTGTTTCCTGGAGTATAAAGGAGTTGTATGTAATCTTTCATAGCAAGTGCACATTTTGTCAGAACGATTCTTTGTGGTAAAATGAAGCATGTCCATACTACAGCCATTCTTGTTTGCTTAAAGAAGAAGCTAAGACACAAGCCCCAAACAGCTGTATTTTCTTTTCCTGCACGTTCCTGTCAATGGCGGGTGGGAGAACAGACATCCAATATATTATCCTGAGGATTGTTGTGATAAATGGCTCAGCTGTGTGCTCATACCATTTGCGTTGCCTATATTCTTCATTGGTAACTTTTTTTTTTTTCTAAAAGGAGGGATGGAGAAAGCCCTGAGTTCAGTGCTGGGTCTGTTAAGCTGCAATCATTTGCTCAGTGAGACAGACAGAATGCATTTTCTTTTTGTTTTAAAATAAAATGGTAGCTGGTTTTGCCTAGTGACAGTAAAAATGAACACAGGGCTTCTGGGTATTGGGCCGATCTCATCATATAGCTGTCACATTTTATTTCCTTGAGTGTGTGCTTTTAGTTTATCCTCCTCAAAAGTCTTGGGAGTCAGAGACTTTTCATCTCTGGGTTTAATGAGTAAAACTCTATGTACACCTCTTTGGCAACCTTTCATTTGCTTTTTCATTGGGCCTCTAATAAGGATTAGTTCAGCCAAAAAGCAGTCAGAAGGTTTTTGTTTAAAAAAAATGTTTTGATCCGGAAGTGATCTTCCCAAGGCAGAAGTAAGCAGGAGAGGTAGGGAGGCGAGGTGCTGACAGAGACTGCAGAGGGGCCGGCGGGGTTCATAGGTCCATGAGACCCGGGATGACCCTGTCCCCTCTATCAGTCTGTGATTTGGATAATCTATGCAGAGACAGATGTGGAGACAGGCTTCTGGAGCTCCTCTCGGTGTTGAGCCTTCCTCCAATCTAGGTTTAGAGGAGAGGCGATCTGAGGGGATTGTATGCTAGGACTGTGGACCCCTGGTGACTTTCTGCAGGAGAGGGGGTCTGATGCTGCAAGACAGAGAGGACTGCACTATGTGCCTCAAAGAGTGAGTCTGCCGTGACCCAGACCCACCCTGTGTTCACACAATCTGCAGGCTCCACCTTCCAGGCAGCTATAGCTGGGTACACACTGCTGCCTGTGCTTCGCTGGAAGGGCCTGCAACCTGCTAGAAGGGCCTTCCCTAACTCAGCCAGCTTCTAGACTTGCGGATCATCACATTGGCTCCATTTCATGATATCTCAGGGTGGTTTCCATTGAGAATGCATGTTTTGTTTGTATTGATTTCAGAGAGAGGAAGGGAGAGGGAGAGAGAGAAAAACAATGATCAGAGAGAATCATTGATCAGCTCCCTCCTGCACACCCCCTACTGGGGATTGAGCCTGCAACCTGGGCACGTGCCCTGTTCAGCAATCGAACCATGACCGCCTGGTTCATGGGTCCACACTCAACCACTGAGCAACAGTACATGTTTTCAGACTTTTCTAAATTAAAAAATACTTCATCTTATGTAAAAATAAGGGGAGAGGTTTCTTTAATGGTTATGAGTGCTTAATGTTTTAAGAAAGAGGAAATTGTTACTCCTGACATTTGGATGACCATTCCTTTCCAGCTCCTCCTGTTTTTTCTTTTCTTTCTCCTTCCTACTTCTCCCCTCCCCTTCCTCTGTCCTTTGCCTCCTTCTCCTTCTTGTAATTTTTTGGTTGCTTATTTTTGGAATAATGGCAAACTTAACGAAAAGTTCCATAAATTATCAGGGTGCAAAGTTTGAGAAATATCTTTAGGTTTTCTACCTTATTAAGTAAGTTGGTTAGGTCTTCTATACATTTACTTCTTTCCTATCCTTGAATGGGGAGTGGCATGCTAAAGTGTCCTATTGTTAATGTGCCTTATCTATGTCTCTTTGCACCTCCTGTAGTTTGTGCTTTGTAGTGATTGTTGCTGTGTTTTTTGGTACACAGATATTCATAACTTTTTCATGGAAAATTGTGGCTTGGAACATTGAGATATGTCCTTTTTCATCTTGTCTAGTGATTTTTTTTTTGCCTTGTAAGGATTAAACAGGAGTACATTTGGAAAAATGAGAATTTGTCTAAGTTGGTCTGATAGGAGAAATGTGCAGGCCCTGCTCCCCCTCAATACTGATATTTTGCTGGTTGAAAGGAAGAGAAGGAAGGTCATTTTAAAATTAATTAAAATTTCTGGATCCAAAAAAACAGGTGCAGTTTTATTCTTTTGGATCCTTGCCCCTAAACAGTCTTTTGGTAGGTGCATAATTCTTCAGTGTGTCAAAAGTCCTACGGTGTTTAATGAATGAGTTCTGAAGCATAACTAATTAATGGAAAGTTTAAAAATGTAGTCAACAAATACCTTCTTTTTTTAACGCTTCAAAATGTTTTTCTAAATAGGGCATATGAAGATAATTGCAGTTCATGTCTTTTTTCAACTTGAAGTTCTTTCAGTTCTTACACCTCCACTTTTTCTTGACCTTCCCACTTTGTATGAAACACAAAGAATTCTAAATTCAGTTCATGATGCATAATATTTTATATTCTTTCATATCTTCTTGCTTGTTAGTTCCAACACTATAATTACCTAATGTGAACAGATTTACGGGTATGGCTAAAATAGCCGGGTTCCTTCTAAATGACTGAATGAGGTGTATTGTACCTTCTAGAGACTATAAAAATGGAATTTCCCCATTAACAATAGACCCAGCTTCTAAGATATTTGTTTTGCTGCATTCACAGTTTGTCCTTTCTGTGTTTACTGATTATTAGAATCATATGATTGGAATCATTAATCTAAGACAGTCTGTATCTAAGTATTTTAATTGTAACTTCTAATTCCCAAGAAAACTATGTTTGTTTATGTACCATTTGGATGGAAGGATTAGATATTGTTATGCAGTTGGGGGGAGGGAGGAGAAGAAGGAAAAGATAGAATGAAATGAACTTAATAGTGTAAAAAGGTAATTTCTAGTACCTGGGTTAAGATTTCATTTTAATTAGAATCAGTCCATGTCTTATAAATATTTGTGCATAATCAAGGAAAACTTATAAATTATGGTTCTCAGACTTAAACGTCTGCTTCTTATTTTGATTCCCCAAAAAAGAACATCTGAGGTGTGAATGAATAATATTTTGCTATTTTGAGAACCTGTGAAAATGTGACTTTTATTCTGTGCCTAAGATTTCTTTCTGTATACTTGCTGTTAGAAGTCAAGTGCTTTACACTTTAAAACCTTAAACAGGCTTTCCCCAAGCTCTAGAAAATTCTTTTGGCATCCACATTTCTATGTTCTGAGATGCCGGACTATGAACCAGGTAGGGTTACTCTACATATTATGATGATGACCTTAGCTAATTCAGACATTTTTATAAAGGGCAAACTAGTATTTGGTTTTAAATATGTGTGCTTGTCTTTAAACTTTCCAAGTTGTGCTTATAACATCATTTATCCATGGCTCAAATTGCACACTCTAGAGATCCTCAGCCTACAGATTTCTGGATATAATATGAGTCTTTGCAATCTGGTAGTTTAGATTCAACTTCAAACTTAACCTTACCATCCTTAAAAACGAAGTCTGTGTATTTCATCTCCTAGGTATCTCTTTATCCTATCTTTCTATCCATCCCCATGACCACTGCTCTTAAAATTTTGATCCCAGGCTATGGCTGCATCT